TTTACACAGCTTGCCTAACACAGCCGTCACAAGATATGGAACGGCACAGCCGGTTACTGCAATAACCGAGGCTGTACTACTCATGTGGTACACACACAGCTTCGCTGTGTACGCACTGCTTCTCTGTGCGACTGTGCATCCTGGGAATGTACTGTATAGTACTACGTAGCCACAGATGTACAGTAGTATATATAGGGGACCTCTGTACCCCCAATCTACAGTTCAGTTCACTCGAACATCTCCTCTCATCGCTCTAACAAGCCTCTTACAACCAACAACCCTTCTAGGTGAGTTGCAGGCTATCCGCTGTCGTTGCCACCCGTGGGAGAGGCCTTCGCCCCCCGGGTTCAACACCTTTGACGCCCACCTTCCATTTGTGGACCATTTCCTTTCCTAGCCCATCCCAATTTGGACACTGTAGATACGTTCCCACAGCTGCATGCTACGTTCCCGTGATCACCATGCCCTTGCCTTTTTGTTCTCGCCCTTTGTTCTTCCTTTGTCATCTTCACTGCCTCGCTCTCGCGCCTTGTCTTTGGTTGCTAAGCAGCCCCTCTAGTATATAAGGACCCCCTTAGGCGCTCCCTAGTCCCCATCTCGACCTCTTGGTCATTGGGACTAGGTGAGTGGCCATAGCGTTGTATCTCCCTTCGTTTGCTAATGCATAACTTGGTCATTGGGACTAGTCTGTCGCTGTCTGCGTGAAGACTAGCTTTCGCAGGTCTCGTGCCCTCGTGCCGACCTCCGCTCTGCCCTCGTCGAGTTTCTTGCTACGTTTATCCCTCTTTATCTCCCTCTTTCCCTTTCGGCTCCTTGCCGCTCGCCTATGAGGTCGTTGCCGAACGTTGACCCGAGTCTACGCGCCTAGTCGCCGCGACATTAGGTCGAGATCTCTCCTCTGGTGCTGACACTCTGAACAAGAGTGTCCCCGCCGCCGCTACATTGCCTCCCCCACCCTGGACTGCACCGGCAGACTTCACGCGTGGGACACCGAAGACCAAGACTACTGTCACCGACGGAAGGACCTAGACGACGGACTCTGGTACTGGGTACCGTGCGAGCAAAACCCCTGCCCGAACCGTCATCACCGCCCTGCTCGGATCAACTAGAACGCCTTTTCGGACGAGTTCATCCCAGTTCCTGACTCCCCCGTTGCTGAGTTGCCCACGACTCGATCCCCCATCCCCGGTACTCCAACTGACGAGCTTGAAGTAGCGCTACTCATCGCGCTTCCCCCATCCCCTATCACCCCCCCAACCCGTCCACCATCCGCTCCACCCATCATGGGACAACAAGGCGGACAACCGCAGACGACAGGCCCCGCCAACAACCCCCAGCAGGCCCAACTGGGCACCCAGACGGCAACACAACCCCCGGACCCCATGACGGTACTACTCCAATTGATGACCCTCCTTACTCAGTCCATGGCACAGCTCGCCAACTCGACCACCGGGGCCAACAGCCTGAAGGCGGTTCAGAAGCCCTCTCCCTTCAAAGGCGAACAGGGGGGCGAAGCACGACGCTTCCTGGCCGCGTTCACTCTCTGGGCCACGTCCCAAGGATCAACGCTCAACCACGTGGACGCCACGGGCAACGCGATCAGCACGCGCGACGACCAGTGGATTCGGGCAGTCCTCTCCTTCATGCAGGACAGTGCGGCTCTCTGGGCCACTCCAGTGATGGAGGAGATCACGCAGGGCACCACCCCATTCAAAGGCTTGTGGATGGAGTTCCGCACCCAGTTCAAGGCCCAATTCGAGACGGTCGACGAGGCGGTTGATGCGAAGGAACGCCTCCGTACGTTGTGGCAAGGCTCCATGACTGTTCCAGAGTACGCCGCCCGGTTCAACGAGCTCTCCACCCGCACGGGTTACTCCAAGGCCGACCTCCACGACCGCTTCTAAGAGCACCTTGCGGACTCCATCAAGGACGAGTTGGTACACACGGCAAGGCCCATCGCTTCTCTGGAGGACCTCATCACCGTCTCCTCCGACATCGACGTCCGTGTCCGCCAACACCGCGCCGAACGGGATTGTCAGCACGGACGCACCACCACCACCACCACCGCGGCCAAGCCGGCAGTTCCACTGCACACCACCCCCTTCACGCCGCCGGCCTGAGACCCGAACGCAATGGACATCGATGCGACCCGTACGCGCGAAGAGTTCAACCGCCTCATGCGCGGCAAGTGCTACGGTTGCGGGTCTACAGCACACGTCAAGAAGGACGGTGGCCACGACAGGGACATCTGCAACTACTGCCGCCGCGTAGGGCACCGCGAGACAGTGTGCATGGACAAGTTCCTGAAGAAGCCCCGCTCGCAGAAGCTCGCCGCCACGGAAGAGGGACCTGAGGAGCCCCAAGTTGCAGCGTCGACGTCGACGTCTGCAGATGCTGGAGCAACCAACGCCCTCATCGCGCAGCTCATGGAACAGCAGAAGGCCCTCGCCGACCAGCTTGCCTCCCTGCAGAAGTCTTTTTAGAGCGGGCGCGTGTGAAAGCTGCCGCAGCGGCGCCCTCCAGTACGACTACGGACTCTTCGCCTCCCCAGATCCCTGACCCCTGCCTGTACGATAGTATTAGTTCGTGTATCATTCCCGAATTAAACCCATCTAGCTCGCATTTCCGCGTCAGTGTGCTACTTAAGGGCAGAAACCGTAGTGTACGTTCCGCAGCTATGATAGACAGTGGGGCAACGGCCCTTTTCATCAGCCACCGTTTCGTAAAGAAGAACAACGTCTACTTACATAGGTTAGCTAGAGACATCCCCCTCTATAACATCGACGGCTCCAAGAACAGTGCAGGCAGCATCTCCCATTACGTTAGATTACAAGTACTTATGGGCGACTACACGGAATGGCTCGAATTCTTAGTTACAGACCTGGGCCCCGAAGACGTCGTATTAGGCTTACCTTGGCTTCGTAGGGTCAACCCGGACATTGACTGGCAGGAAGGCACCATGGAGGTTGGTGCGGAGGAAACGGAGGCCGAGGCCGAATGGAAACCTGGCATTGAGCGGATCGCCGCCAACCGGGTGCAGCGAAGGAAGTGGTGGAAGGCTAAGGTCCTGGAGGACACGACCGAGGAGTTATGGTGCGCCGCCAGGTACACCTACTCCACGGAGCTCGCGCAGAAGGCCAACCAGGGCAAGCCCAAACGCACGTTCGAGGAGATCATTCCGGAGGAGTACCGACAATACTCGAAGGTCTTCTCCGAGACCGAATCAGAACGCCTCCCGGAACACAAGCCGTACGACCATGCCATCGACCTCAAACCTGACGCCCCAGAAACTCTACGCTCTAA